TCTCTTTTGCCGTTACTTCCCTATAAAAAAAGATTTATTTGGCAGACCTGTGAGGTCTGCTCGTGAGAATTTTGCCTGCTGGGACTGAATGTACAGACTTGTTAGAGGCTCTGCCAAATAAATCTTTTTTTATAGGGTTATCTTTTCCTGTTAATGAGGATTATATTCTTGGAATTTCAGTGAATAAAGCTGTTAAATATTAAAATTTAAAATAATGAAATTCAACCACACTGCTTATTAATAATTTTTGTTCTAAAAATACTTGCGCTGCTTGTCTTCGCACACTCTATGTTTATGAATTCTGAGGGTACTCAGCTTTCACGAACTTCATACATTCAAAATCTGGGGCTGTCAAAGTACCCATAGTCCTCATGGTTCTGACGCCCCTGTAAAAATGCACGAACGCAACAATCACTAATTTAACCTTCAGTCTCATCGAACGACTTGTTACTGATATCAACAACAGAAGTTGAGAATCGATGAACAATTCCGGCAAAAATATATATGATTTAAAGGAAAAAACCCAATTTACTCTTAATCGCGTCACAGTACAATAATCTTATGATAGTGAAACTGTATAAAGAACGTAGAATTTAGTGAAGAAACATAGAATATTTATATTATTATTTTCTCACTGGTCTCTCTGTATATAGTCAGGGATGGGCTCGTCTATGACTAGACTTGTAGTTCTACTCTGGCTGCATGAGATCACTCCTCTATATGAAAATATCAGATGGACAATACTCATGAGTATTTTGTCAAAAGTTATATGAGTACTCAAGAATACCCAAGCATGAGTACCCAAAGTCGTACCCACAGTACTGGTTACTCACTCATGAGTACTCAATGAGTAAAAACATGTGTGAGTACTTATGAGTACTCGGGACATTTTTCAGCAGAGTACGACTTTGAGTACTCACACTTGAGTACATTCACTAGGACAGGAAGCAAATTGGTCACTGGCATAGTTTCAGTCTTCGAAGACATTGAAAATTTCTGTCTGCTTTGAACTAGAAATATTCCCACTTTGAAAAGTGGTAAGGCGAGAAAATGAAGAATACCTTGAAGATCCTTCTTGTGACCGATGGTCCTTTAGTGTCAATGAGCCATATTCACATCCTGATGAGAACGCTGTACGTTGGCCGTCGAATGGCTCGAAAGGCTGGCCGTACGAGTGCGTGTATTGTATAGACAGACGTCAAGAAAATAGTACCGCGATGGGGCGTCCTCATCAGGATGTGAATATGGCTCATTCCGAGGTAAGTTTTGGCTGAGTCAGATTTGGCGAACAATATTTGCGAACCATTGGTTCATTCTGAGAAGAGATAGTTGATGAATTCATAGCCATCGCCATATCTTCTTGATTATCAATTTTTTCTGAACAAGCTTCGCCCAAGCCTCGATTCGTCCTTCAACGTAATCCAAACCTTTTGTATTGAAAGCAAAGACCATCGCAGGACAGGACTGCCGCTGTTGTTCTGCCGCCTATCCTGCCCGGCAGGGCGATATATATTTTTTGCCCTTCCCTGCAGGGCAACAAAAAAGTCCTTGATTTGCCCTGCGAGAGATTGATTTTTGAGATTTTCAAGCTTCTTTTTAAGTAAGATTTTGAGATCTTCCGTATATGTGAAAATAAAAATGACGGCCAAGCAGGACGAAAAAAGGGCACAGAATAAAGTGGTGTAACATGTAGCTTGAAGAAGAAAAACATGCATTTTTCGCACTCACATCAGCTTATTCGCACCAGGATTCGCAGTATATTCAATGTAACGTTCGGTAGAGTTAGATAATGATTTCAAATTTGAGTCCTAAGCATAACGAGAAACAAAGTTGTATTCTCCTATTTTCCTAGAAAAATACATTTACATCTCTGCCGAGAAATGCTTCACGAACATTAAATTTAGGTGTATTAAGAGCACAAGTCCATGTTTTGAATGTTCGTTGGAGTAACTGAACACTCATCTAAAATGCACTCAGCAGCAAGCAAAAGCGGTTCGTAGCCGAAAAAATGTTTGTTGACTTTATCCAGGGGTTCCTAATTAGGACCGAAAAACACACAAAAACCCCCAAAAAAAGAAAAACCAGCTTACAGGGGAATGGGTCTTTGTCCCAAGCTGGATCAACACAACAATTTTTCTAGACATGTTGGTAAAGTAATTGTTGTGGCCAAGAGTCCCCAATAATCAATAAAGAAAGCGGAGTCAGAGGTGAAGAAGACAGTCGTCATCTTTAGGAAGTAGATTTCTAGTATCTAAACTGCAAAATCCGTCATTATTTTTTTTGCAGAATATATCCAACCTTTTGAGTTTCGAAAAAAACTACCATCCCAACCGGTTTTTTGCCGGAAAACCGACGATAGAAAGTTTTTTTTATTCCGGTGTTTTTCCGACAGAACGGAACGGTAGAAAGTTTCTACCGGCGGAACGGACCGGTAAAAAGAAATTTCTACCGGTTCTAACTCTGCTACAGTGATAACTGAAGTTTTTCCGTAGGAAAAAAAGAGAACGCAAGAATGCGTGTGTGTTTCGATGACCTACATCTGTTAAGCATCAGAATCACTTATTACTAAACTCTTTCTCGCTTGAGGTGAATATGGTTCGGATTCTAACGTCAATCTGGTGCACATATGAACATTTGTCTTCCATTCCTCTGTTTCTTAAATTTTAGATAATGTATTTGTCAACTGACCAAAGTAGCGGATACGCTCCAAGTAGATGGTCTCATCGTCCGTTAGATCCGGAGAAACTTCTAACTTCATATCGTGAAATCCCTCGAAATGAAAGTGAAGAGGCACATTAGAACTTGTTGTGTTTATTGAATATTCCGATTAACAATAGTACGCACGACGATCATTCCATTCATTTGTATTTTCCAGAATCATTCAAAAATCTTGATACATGTTCCTTAATGAATATGCAGCTCTCAATAACATCACCGAAGCCACGAGGTGTTCTAGCCTACATCCACGGTAACTATTTTCTCAAAAATTTAGAGAAGCTCACGTGACGGATCTATCTAGTGTCGTTCGTCTTTTTTTCCTTCTACTTCTTCTTCTAGGTGGATTACTGGCAAACTGGTACAAAGCAGAACAGTGCATCGCATGGCCGAAACTTTTTGCAATGAAAATTTTGTTGTTGTTCCCATCTGTTATCTAATCGCACCAAATGCTAAAATGAATCAAATAGTTGCCTGCAGTGAAGAATCCTTTATACAAGTATTAAAATGGACTGAGCAACATTCACTTAAACTATTTATCCTTAGTCATTCTGCAGGCGGACATTTGGGCGCGACGCTACTATTAATTCATTGATATCAGAAATATAAAATCTCACCCAGTACATCTGGCGCATTCTTTCTTATTTCCAGCGTGTATGACATGCAACCGCCAGTTGATACCTACGTAAATGATCCACTGGAGATGACAAAGGCAGTAGCAAAAGAATTTAGAATTTAGTCCGCAACTGAAAGATGACAGACTTTTGGAATGATTTGAAGAGTGTGACGCCGAGCTATTGTATCTGTGGTGATCATGACTCGCCAGCATTTCAAAAACAGAATGAAGAATTTGGCAAGAAACTTCAAAATGGCTATAGAAATGTTGAAATCGACGTCACTTCAGACGGAGATCATTTCAATGCTATTGAACAACTTCGAAGTGAAGATGATCCACTTACATTGAAGTTACTGAACGTTATGTAAAACGCTTAGGTTTTACTTATCAGTTTTTTTAACTTTTTTGAGATTACAGTCTGTTATCGTTCCCTTAAATTTTTTTGATAATTGAACGGTAATTTTGTTAATGTTCTTCTTATTGAGTTTATTGCCTCTTGTGATTAATTAAATTCTTGTTATTTTATGGATACTGCTAGCTTAGTGTGACGTTTTTTACTTTTTATACTGTTTTTGTACGTCAATTGTTTAAAGATTTTGAAATTTTTCATTATCATTATACCTGTTTATATTAATTATTACTCATACTTTTTAAGCTATTTTGTTTTGACAGATTTAGCATTCGCTCTATAATGGCAATGACGACTTCGCAGTGCTAGCACTCTTCAGGTTTAATAAATTATAGTTTAAACTGACTAATTACGAATAGTAAAACAGTTGCGAGTGATAGCTCCTGTTGTCCTTAGCTGTTTTTTTTTGCTGTAGAACTGAACGGACGAAAAGGAAAATATTGTATGGAAAAAAGAGCATAGCGTGTGGTAGGAATTCACTGAACTGCAAACTAATTTTTACTTGGGAAAAACAGAAATCTTTTCGTTACTTTGAAGTAATTCAGATGACTGTCATTTTTCACTACAGACTTATGTTGGTAAATATGGCGATACTCAATGCTTATCGATCCAAAGAAACTAGTCAATTCAATCTGGTGGCTCTAGTCCCTCTCAAATCACCAGGGCTGTGAAGTGCACAGGGTACTATCCGTACAGTCATTTTCGCATCGGTGGTATAATTTGCTTGGTGTATTTCATGGAATAGTCTTGTGAGTTTAATTTCGTTAAATTGAACTGAACAAGCGTAAAGTCAAAAAAGTTCTTGCATTCCTCAAACAATTAAAATCGTTCTTTTTCGGTTCGTAACAATTATGTCATGAACACATGCTTGAAAAGAATGAAGGAAGATCCCTGTCAGGATTTCATTTTTACATTTAGAATTGTTCGAATGTCGGCCAGGCACAATGAAACCAAGTGATTTTTCATTCACTTCAGTAGACATATCTGTCTTCACCTCGACCAAGAGTCTGAGCGTCCGAAGTCTTACCTCTTTATAGTAATAGAATTTTAAGCAACTTTAGCAGATGAAATAGGTGGTCACGACACACTCTTATCGTGCAGACATTCCTCTTTTTTACTGGCATTTTTTTTCTTCTTTGGAGGCATCCCTAAAGGATGTTCAGCAAAATTATTTTTTTCGATTTCTCTAGCGGGAGTTTGTACAAAAAAATCCTTCTAATTTTTCCCATTATCCGAGCATTTCCAGCTTAAATCTTCGCTTTCTTCTTGCAGAGAAAGTTCTAGACTTTTCAGCTAGCTCACGAAAGGATTTTTTAGTGGAGCTAGCATTACGATAATTTCACCGCAAATTTAAAGGGACGCAGACTATATTAGACTAATCTTATGAACACGAAAACGCCTTCTAAAGTTTGACGCTTACTACCGCACAAATTCTAGGGAAATAAATCTGTTCAAGAAGTCAACATATTTTACTTCATTCTTTTGGTTCAAGGCACCACTTAAAAGGCAGTTTTGAAGTTTGTTCGTTGTGTTGAGTCAAATACATCACTGAGCAAGTTCACTTCTACAGATCCTTCTTCACGATCAAATCGTCGTGAAGACCAATCGTGACCCCAAAATGTCAGGTGCTTCCACGGACGTTCGAGTAGCTCAGTTTATTAGAACTTAGATGGAAAGCTTAACTTTTTTTAAAAAATCAGTTTTATCAAGCTTCTTTCCTGCTACTTTTTAGTTTTACTAAAAAATAAAGTTTATAAATTGAATCCAACCAAACGTTTTCAAACTTCACTTGAGTTCTTATTCTTACTTTTTAACTGCTGCTTGACAGTTGTTTGTTCATCGCCTCTTTCTGATTCTAGATTTAAGAAGTAGCTCATTATGACTCTGTCGTCAACACGGAGACAACGTTTAAAGCGCATAAACTTGGTGACATTATTATCGATAGAAAGAGCGGTGTACGTAAGCGTTTAAATGGTGTGACGGACGTACATACATATAGTCATGTGGCAGTGTGACGGACGGCAATGATCATTTTTCGAAAAAAGTCAGCATTAGGAACTTTTCGAACTGTGGCAAAGAACCGGGACCGGTTTCTGCTAG